ACCCCGACTTACGCGAATCCGGAGTTACGCGATTTTCAAATCTCGTCGATTCGTCTTTTGTTTGAGCGCCACGCAACTCTTAATTACTCATTTCCCCCCACACTATTGTTCGGCTTACATATTCGGACGTGTTCGACATATAGCTACAATTTATTTTGTGTTATTTGTATGTATTTATATGCAAAATTATACCCCGACTTACGTGGTTATCGCTCGGTCCCACCTATCGCGTAAGTTCGGGGTATTACTGTATAGGAGCTAAAAAAATTCACAAATTTGTTGATTTTTGTTCAATTCATTCATATCAAAATATTGCTCTTTTGAATGGTTTAAAGTTATCAAGTTTTTTAAATAAAAAATAAATCAAATAATACAGTTTCAGATTTTCTGAAGTTTAACTACCATATTTACTGGATTACATGCCAACCTTTTTTTAATTTTTTCGCAGTTCAAAAAAATGTCCCTCGGCTTAGAATCAGTATCAAGTGAAGATGAATTTGAGTCATCTAATGTCAGCAACTGAACAATTAAATGGTATAAAATTTATTCCTCATGCCTGATTAATAAATTTTCATTTTTTATTTATTTTTGTTTCCAATTTCCTGGGGTCAGCTTATAATTGAATAAATATGGTAATATCATCTGCTCTTGAACTGTACATTTTTTTTCTTTTTTTTTCTTAAAGATAAAATTTTCATTGCACAAAATCTTAAAATTTGAAAAACAATAAATTTTTATAATATTGCATTAACAGCTGTTCTTATGCAGTAAATTTTTACACTTGTCATTTATGTTAACAATTGTTAACATGCTGATAATTGCAATTATCATCATGTTAAAGATTTATAAAGATTTTTGTTGCTTTAAAACAACAATAAATATATTGTAGAGAAACAAATTGTAAGACTTTTTGGTTAATAGGACGTCAGCCGATATGTACAGAAATAGATAAAATTCAAGCTCTGAATGAAGAGTTTCACACCACCCCAGAATTGTTGACCCTTCACATGATATCAGTCTTCAAAGGTCAGCTTTTAACATGTATCAGTCTACTGCATATTCTACATGCAAAGCATGCAGATATGTGCCTATGTGCCCAGGTGGGGGCGAGCCCACACACCCTCTAAAACTATA